TGGAAGTGATAAAATGCACCCCCCCCATAAGGGAGATGGAAGTTTGTAAGATTAAAAACAATGCTTAAAAGCAGCAGCAAACCGTTTAGATCAAATCACACTAGGCTAAATGGGGTATCATACTAAGGAATAACTGTATTAAATACAGGTGAAACTCAAAAAATTTGAATATCGTGCTAAAGTTATAATTTTGATGATTATGGCTTACAGCTTATGAAAACCCCGAATTCAAAATCTCAGAAAATTAGAATATCACATGAAAGCAATAAAAAAGGGATTTTAAATACAGAAATGTCAGCCCTCTGGAAAGTATAATCATGCATATGTATATAGTTATATATACTAAATATATTAGTTTCACCTTTTAATTTGAATTACTGAAATACATGAACATTTGCACGATATTCTAATTTTTCGAGTTTCACCTGTACTACTAGTACTACTGTATAATTTATCCAATTTGTCTCTCCTTTATCTCTTTCATCACAAGAAGCACAAAGGGATTCAGTGGATCCTGAAGACTCTCCCTGCACTGACGCTGTACCCTCACCTTCAGTCTCAGCTCCGTGGATTTTGCAAGACTTTCCTTGCTCCTTATTTTTAATAAACATTAAACTTCCCAGTGTTGGTCTTTGTGAAAAAGTGCAGATACACCTAAGTATGATTAGCACAAAATCTTTAGTTGTATTTAGATTGTTCCTGCTGACTTGAGCATATTTTCTCCTCTCTGTGTCGGAAAGGACAGACAACATGCTTGACGTTTATTAGACATTTATAAATCCCATTGTGCTAAATCAGTGCAAAAGTATATATATATATATATCATTGACAAATTAACCTTAAAAAATTGTGTTTTTTAAATCTTTTCAAAACTTTTAAAAAATGTATTCTTAAGACACCATTTTAAATAGTTTTTTAGACTGTTCATTTGTGGGGACAGTTGCACAACCTGACATTTTTGGGGATTTAAGATAACAAAACACAAAATATGTATTTAAATGTACTAAAAATGATATAGATCATAGATTAAAGTTATGTATGTCATGAATTTATAAAATTATGTTAAAAGGAAATTATGCACTTGGACACTGAGGAAATAATGTGTGTGTGTATACTCATGTTTTGTTTTAAAATTAAATATATTATCTATTCATTTATATAGTAATAAGTGTATGGGGTGCATAAGCATTGTAAACATTAAGATTAAAGAAATTTTACTTGTTTGCAATGGATTTTTTTAAGACAATCACCTGTTTCCTGCAAGTCTCCTGTCCTTGTGAAACCATAGTGAATATTATGTGATACCCTTAAATAACATACAAGTTTAAGAACACAAAAATACTTCAAACCAACTGCAATACGGTCTTTAACCAAGGTAACGTTAGCCAGAAATATGTTAACAAAGGCAGACAAGGCTGGTTGAACACACTAAACATTAAATATTATCAGATTTTTATCTTTTAAAAACAACATTGCTGTACCTACATACACATACTACATTCACGTGTCAGTATATTATATACATATTGTAAATCAATACATTTATTGACTACAAACTACCAAAAATCACAGTTCTGCTCTCTAACTCCATCGATTTGAATTGGCGCCGAATCACTTCCTGGAACTATCTGAGGTCTACGCGAATCACGTGACAACCAAGCATTTCGAACTTCCGTTGTCGCAACTCTCTCTTTATACGGCTCTGCTCCTACCCAATGACAGCACGTAGGGTTTTTTCCCACTGGAGTACTCACGTAAAGGATGCGCGCGCGTGCACAACTATCATCATGCTGTTAGGCAGTAGCACCCCTGCGCTGGGTGCGCCCCTTCCCCTATAACTGAGGAGCTAATTTGTGTGCATCTGTGTGAAACACGCATGAAAAAAGAACGACAGAAAGAACGGCTCCCCTTCAGCCGCGACTCGGCTCCCATCGTTCATGTTTATGAGCCGTTCAAAAGAATCGGTTCCTTCGCGAACGTCACAACTCTAATTCGCAGCTGAAGCTGAACCTTTTTCTGAACCTCAATCTAGTGTAAAGGGGCAGCACAGGTCTCGTTTAAACAGGGTCGTCACGTGGCTGCTGCTTTCTGCCCCTTTTCAACAATATCTTCGTAAAATACTTCTTACACTACTGACAATGTCCATGATATGGCCATTTGTGCCATATTTTATTGTTTTGTTTGAAAGTAATTTCCACCAGAATGTCACCAGTGTTTAATATCACTCCATTTATAGCATAAAGTAACGGACTCCTTTGTCTTGCTAGGGAACATTTCACTGCTAAAATTGTATTTATCTGAATTGCAGTTAAATCATATTCTGACCCTTTTTATTTTATTATTATTATTGGGGGAAAACGGTTGTGGAAATGACGGCACAGTTGAGGGACGGGATTTTCATAGTTAAGATTGAAAGTGGTTTGAAAAGTAAATGGCGGCGTAATCTTCTGGATGAAGTGCTTCATGCGCAGCTCCACCTGTCGCCGCGGCCAGCGCGCTTTCTGGGGGTTTTCTGGGTGCAGTTGTCCTGCTGATGGGGAACATTTAGTCCAGCGCTTGCAGTTTCAGTGTCAGTCAGTCTCTAAACAGGATCTGCTTTCCTACAAGTCAAGAATACTCTGGGATTGTGGCAGTGAATGTCACACACGTCTGCGGGAGGCTAATGAGGCTCCCCAAGGATCCAACGGGGATTTTGTGCATTTGCTGTAAATTAAGTCGACAAGAGTGGCAAATTAAAAACCTTTATTCTTACATGTATATTTTATTTATTTAAAATCTATCTCTATCTATCACTCTATCGCTCTATCTATCACTCTATTATCTATCACTCTATTATCTATCGCTCTATCTATCACTCTATCTATCACTCTATTATCTATCACTCTATTATCTATCGCTCTATCTATCACTCTATCTATCACTCTATTATCTATCACTCTATTATCTATCACTCTATTATCTATCACTCTATTATCTATCGCTCTATCTATCGCTCTATCTATCACTCTATCTATCGCTCTATCGCTCTATCTATCGCTCTATCTATCACTCTATCTATCGCTCTATCTATCGCTCTATCTATTATCTATTATCTATCCCTCTATCTATTATCTATCACTCTATCGCTCTATCTATCACTCTATCGCTCTATCTATTATCTATCGCTCTATCTATTATCTATCACTCTATCGCTCTCACTCTATCTATTATCTATCGCTCTATCTATTATCTATTATCTATCCCTCTATCTATTATCTATCACTCTATCGCTCTATCTATCACTCTATCGCTCTATCTATTGCTCTATCTATTATCTATCACTCTATCGCTCTCACTCTATCTATTATCTATCTCTCTATCTATTATCTATTATCTATCCCTCTATCTATTATCTATCACTCTATCGCTCTATCTATCACTCTATCGCTCTATCTATTATCTATCGCTCTATCTATTATCTATCACTCTATCTATTATCTATCACTCTATCGCTCTATCTATCACTATCTATCGCTCTATCTATTATCTATCACTCTATCTATCACTCTATCTATTATCTATCACTCTATCGCTCTATCTCTCTCTATCTATCTATTATCTATCACTCTATCGCTCTATCACTCTATCTATCACTCTATCTATTATCTATCACTCTATCTATCACTCTATCGCTCTATCTATTATCTATCACTCTATCACTCTATCTATTATCTATCACTCTATCGCTCTATCACTCTATCTATCACTCTATCTATTATCTATCACTCTATCTATCACTCTATCGCTCTATCTATTATCTATCGCTCTATCTATCACTCTATCTATCACTCTATCTATCACTCTATCTATCAATCTATCTATCGCTCTCACTCTATCACTCTATCTATTATCTATCACTCTATCTATCGCTCTATCTATCACTCTATCTATCACTCTATCTATCGCTCTCACTCTATCACTCTATCTATTATCTATCACTATCTATCGCTCTATTTATTATCTATCACTCTATCTATCACACTATCGCTCTATCTATTATCTATCACTCTATCTATCACTCTATTGCTCTATCTCTATCTAGCGCTCTATCTATCACTATTACGCTATCTATAATTCTGTCTATTGTCTCTATCACTCTTATCTATCTGTTCACACTATCTATCACTCTGTCTATTGTTGCTCTGTCGCTCCATCTATATCTATCGCACTATCGTTCTCTCTGCCTATATATCATTCCATCTATCATGCTATTGTACTATATATCATATCTACCCATCCGGCTTTCAATCTATGCTGTAAAATGACAGATTGGTTCATTAACTCCTCCTGTAGTGAGAATTCATTATTGCAGGTTTCATTATTGTGTGCATTTCAAGTTTCAAACAAATTCCACCGACTCCCCCAAAGTCTGTTATCCAGGTTGAACTCGAACACATCTTGGTTTCATTGAGAAGATCTCATGCCCAATTTTTAAAATCAAATTGTACCCAAACACAAAATCCTCCAGCCAGCATCCAGATCTCCAATAAACCCAGTCCAGTTTAGTGTCTGGGACCGAACCCCGAGCAGCAGCCTCTCCGTCAGCAGTTAATGCTCCAGTCCAGAGCGTTACAGTGAGAGAATCAAAGGCTTTGCACATGCACGTGCAACAGGGGCCTCTTTGTGCCCCGCTAAATGTTAATGGTCGGAAATGTTAATAATCTGCGCACGGGGGTCTGGCCTTTGATAATCTGTTGACGAAACTGATCCGGCACTCTTGAGTGACTGGCTAATGGCATTCCTCACACTTGCTCTATCATTGGCTGGAGAGAGAATGAAAGTGTACGGCAGCCCTCGGGGACTCCCAAATGGTCAAGTGCCTTTAACGTCCCTCTTCCTGTCGTATCCCTCCAGCCCTCATCCCAGCTTTACCAGCAGCCCCTTCGAGCACACTTTTTTTAATCTGCACTTTTTTTAGACTTTTGCAGGTCTGGCAGGAGCTCAGTGAGAGGGCGCAGAGAGTGGGCTAACTTTCACTACCGCTGTTGATCCCGGATTCACTGGAGGCCGATTCGTTACTGCACAGAAGGACAGGACCTCAGTCGGGATTCACTGCAGAAAAACCTCCTGCAACTTTTCGGGGAGTGACTCATTGGATTTTCCTGTGGGTAGAAAGTCTTTTCTACCATGAACCAAACTTGGGACAAGGGTGTTTTTGAGAACGGACAGTCAAAAAATCCAGGGAATGTTGGGAAAGCGTGCGCGGAGCACCTCCAGAGGTAAGGAATGTGCTGCTGTGGGAAAAGGCGTTTGTGCTGCATGGAGATGTATGAAAAATCGATTAGTTAGCGAGCTGTTTTGGGGGATAAATCACGGTCGAGTAGCAAGTACAGTAAGAAATCATCTAAATGCTTGAAGTGGCACGGTTCCTCAAGACACTGGGATGATGGATGGGTTTGATGAGTGAAACTTTTGAGCTCTTTGCCAGAGTGTAATGCTGTATTATTGTAGCCACAGATCTCCAACATAAACCGTTATCACTCCGGCTTATTCCGTCATGCTTTGTCTCATCACAAATGTAAACATGCATTTCTATAGATTTAAAGCAATATGAATGTAATATAATCAATTGATTTTGTGATTTTTATTAAATCTTTTTTATTATAAATCATTTTATTTTTGTTATACTAATTCTCATTTTACAGTTAAACGTACTAATTTTTATTCGTACTAATTTTACTAATACTGAAAATATATTTATTTGGTTCATATTTACCAGCGGGTAAACCGTTTGTTAAAAGAGTTAACGACACTGTTAAGTGTTGGGGAAAAAGATCTATAAATAAAAGCAAACAATAAAAGATGTTAAATGTGATTATTGTTAGCACTCCTTACTGATATTCATAGCATAAATAATAGTGTTTATTTATTTTAAAACTGCCTGTTTGAGTTTGTGTTGAGAATAGCTACAGAATTTTTGTAAAATTAATTTGGCGATGAGTTTCGTGGTCCCCAAAATTTACCTTTTCGAACTCTGAACGTTTAATATAGTCATGAAATAGTCATTATATAAAAATATTTTATTTTAGCTGTAAATCATCTAAATGAATTACTATTGTATGCTAAACTTTTTTTAAAAAATATTTATACACTGAAACTCAAACTCTTGTTTATGAGTTGATGATCCAAACTTAAATGACATGTCTATTGCAACATGAACGTTTAAAACACAAAAGTGACTTTTTTAATGTTGTATAATGTAGGATATGACAGCAGATAACGATTCCCTTCATGTTGTCAATTATGAAGAAGAAAACAGCTGGAAATTGTATAAAATGATGAACTTGGGTCTCCAGTCAGTCAGCACATGCGTTTGGTCCCAGTGAGTGTTTTCAGCAGATGTTACTGGTGCTATTTGTTTATTGTTGATAAATGACAGGCTTGATCAGTGCTGATGTGCACATAAGTGATGACCACATTCCTGCAACATGCCTCTCTATGAAATCACTCAACACTAGTCAAAATATAATGCTAATTATGCAACAAAAAACAACTTGTATTTTATACTGTGCAGTTCATTTATATTTTTGATAATAGTCAGTCTTGCAAAGTTTACATAGTTGCATTGGCAAATCGTGTACAGAAAAGTTTGTCTTGCTCATTCACTAGTGTTCGTCAGTTGAAGTGCTATGTAACTCGCTCTAGTACAGGCGAACAAAATTAGCCCTGTAAAGGGGACGGACATGGCAGTGATCTCCAGTCTTCAGGACACCCTTTAGTGCCACCAGTGACTGACGTGTAGAATCAGGACACACTCTTCCGTGTGAGTTACTGACAGAAATGTGGATGCCAATTTTGTTGCGGCGTTACAAAGGTGTCCAATTATGGACATGGCGTCCACCGTTTCTATTTTAAAACATTCTCCGTTTTTGCACAACACTTCGTATGAGTGTGTCCCAAAATTGTGCGGGCATAATTTCTTGCTAAAAATTATGAACAAATGCAAAAGCGAGAGAACCAATGAATTATTAATAATTGATTGTTGTAAAAAAAAAGGCAGATAAATACCTTAACCAAGAGTTTCTTTCTTCTTTCATATTTATATAAAAAAAAAACTCTCTCAACTTATAGTATATATATATATATATGCTTTTTGTTTGTTATAGATGCATATGTTGAGATAATGTTAGAAAATTGTAAAATCAAAATCTGAGCAACTATAGGTTTTAGTAAATATGACATTCGCATTGGTTTACTGATTTGAAGAATAATTATGCAAAAATAGCTGTATATAATTAAGTAAATTTTCATATACATTCCAAAAATATTAATTAATTAATCTAATTAATAAGGAAATGCAGTGTTTTTGTGCAGTTTAGTTAATCTGTGCAGTTAAAGTGTATTTGTGAACACTTTTAATCACAAGCCAATGCTCTTACGGTGACATTTTAACTGTTACTATTATAACTTTGTGACTTTGTGACTTTGTTTGAGAAATCTGTCATGCGAAGTCAGCTTAATTGTTTTACAGTCCCATGCATATTGGCTCCTGCATTTAATGCATGAAATCCTCAGCTGCCCGCGTGAAGCTTTTCACAGCCAGCGAAAGGTCGTGGGCTCTGACCGTGCGGTGAAAGATGGGGCATTTTTGATGGATTGTTTTTAAATAGCGCAGTGGGCCGCAGCATTATGACTGGTATTGTCAGGATGTGTCGGGGCTGTGTTGTGTTGGCCCTTTTTCCCTCTCGTCCGCCATGGTGTATCGCTCCCTCTCTCTTCTCCCATATATCCCTCGTCAGCTGCTGTCTCTCTATCACTCTGCCAGCCGAACCCAGAGAGGGAAGTTTCCTCGCACCCCCGGGAACGTGAGGCTGATGGGAGTCCCAGACGCCATTCTGGGCTACAGCGCTTCTGCTTTTTATCCGGATACTTTGGGGTAAACGGCCGTGTGAATATGACCCTGGAAAGGTATATTGTGTTGTTAATTTTCATTGTAATATTTAACTGTTGTTCCACAGCTGTCGTGGTCTTTGGTGTTGTTTGACCTTTGAACAGTTGGATCTAGATGTTTCAAGCACCGTATAGAGCAGTAAAAGTTATATACTCGTTGCTTAGTGAAGGCCTGAGCGCTGTGTTGACCTTGGTTCTTCATAGCTTGCGTGTTTGCCGGTATTACCAGGGATGCTTAAATCACAGCTGGGAAATATGTTGTGAATGCCTTTGTCCCTTCAGATCTTAAGACTACCGGCTATTCGGTTGCCTTTTGTCATTAGTTTCATGTCTATGCGCTCATGAATAAAAAAATCAGAGGGAATCTTTTTTTAAATGGTGTACTGACCCCTACTTTTGTTCAATTAAAAAGGGGATGTTGGATGTGTATCCGACTGGCCTATCCAATCGAAAGCTTGGTAAGAGAACGGTAGTTTTGTTTCTTTTTACGACATTGTACAATGTCGAGCAACACTTAATGGATGTTGGGAATGACTTCCAACCATAAATCTGCTCTTAAAGTCCATAAAGTATTGGCTGGCAATTGTATGATTAGGGTATAAAGAAACAAAACAGCAAAACTACCATCAGCTTAGCGAGTTTTCAATTGTCAACAAAGATGTTGATTAGCAACCAAATAAGGGAGGATTTACACATCTGATGATTGGGGAACAAAAAGGTTTTAGCATAAAATGCCCAGAAACGGAGCGGCAATGCTAACATTAGCTTTATTTTCAATTTGTAAAGTCATCAAGGAACCAAACTGGGAAAGAAAAACACTGCAATGCTGGCATCTTCATGAAATTGTTATTAGTTTTAAGCTATCTACATGCCGCCACCTTCATGTGATGTTGGGATACCTGAAAACCAGCAAAGCTTCATGCTTTCATTCATTTAGTAATCCTCTAATATTTTTAAATAGTAATTGCCGCAGCCAAATGGTTCTGACGCCATTTGTCTAAATTGTGAGTCTCAGGCAGTGTGTTTGAATGTGCCTTGTTTCCTCCCGTGGCTTGGGTCACATGACAGTTTATTCAGGAAGGTGTGATCTCTCAAATATCAACACTCGCCCTTTCAGCAACCATCGCACGGGTGCTGTCAGCTCCTTTGATCGATGGACGCTGGTAAAAACTGAATGGCCATTAATTATCAAAACCAGTTTGGTTGGTTACATTTGGGAAGTGTCAGTGTTTGCAATGACATAGGACACAAGCTGCTGTTTTCTTCACGTTCACACACAAACGTGACTAATACAGTGTGAAAATATTTGTCTACAAGGCGCCACGTGAGCCTGGTGAAGAAGTGCGAGGCTTGGCCCTCTGCGGGTGTCAACCACTATCAGCCTATTTGTGGTGACACTTATTTGTTTCCATCTTTGTTGAATTGTGGGTTTCCTGCTGTGGTGTTCTGGCCTCTCAGCATGTGTTCATTGCTTTGACATGTAGAGAAATGGGCTAATCTTTATGTTGAAAGTATAGCAGTCTTAAGGCACCAGAAACTTCTGCTATTTCACAGAAAGGGAATTTCTGTATTCATTTTATCAGCTTTTTTAAAATGTATTTAGACTGTCCTGTGTCAAATGTACTTTATAATTTTTTAGCACATTTAGTCAACCAAAAAAACGACTTAATGTCGTCACACAGAGGTCGCGTAACTACAGTTATTCAGCATCAACAATCGCAAGTATAGAGTAGATCCATGTTTGGATTTATTACAGTTCTTCACTGAGAAGGTTTGATTGTGAAGGAACACAGACTGACTGAACGACACCTTCATTTAAGCAGGATACCTCAAATGGAGATCGCTAAACTCCAGCTTACTTGTTTGTCAGTGTTTTCAGATCATCAGTGCTTCTTGTGGGTTGCCAGATTGCAAATATGAAGTAAATCACCAGGTAGAAAACGTGTTCTTTAAACAGAAAAGCTCTGATTAAGGGAGTTTAAATTGTCGTAATCTTTTGTCTCCTCTTTTATTCGACAAAAACAAACAATGATTTTGGTCAAGTTTTTATTTTTTTAACTACATTTTACTCTCGCCTTTTTTCGTCAACGATATTGCATGTTGATATACTCACAGTTATCGTCTAGTGACGTTGGCGTCGTCTCGTCATCGTCTTAGGTCATCAACGAACAGTTTTCGTCATAGATCTCATTAACGAAATAAAGCGTCGCTTCAGTTCCATTCATAAATCCTGTCCCGTGGCCTCATGGGATGGTGAAGTGTCCATCGAATGCTGTATTCTGACATACTACTCTTTGGTATATTGTTTTTCGCACACTATATACTAGGG